CGAATAATCATCAACAGAACCCCGTTGAACCACTTAAGGCTTCTTAAGAGTTAGAAATTACCTTGGAAATTTCCCGTGGTTAACAATTTTCAATACAACGCAATGAAGTAGGTAGGTTTATTATACGTGAATTATGTGATTCCTCATTTTATTCTACCTCAAACCGTAATTATAGCATAACATAAAACTTCCTGTACGTGGTGTCAATGATGGAAATCATAATGAGATTGTATATATAATCGAGCATGTGGGAAGTAGGAAATATTATACGACATCCTGGCTTTTATGTTCATAAATTCACAGTGAGGCAGATCTAGCGCAGTGCAGTGGATAGAAACATGACGCTTTGAGCGAGATTATTTACAGCGTTGGGCAATGGTTCCCAAACAACCGGTGGGTATTTCCAAACCTGTGGGGAATTGAGGAGTTGCTGGTTGGTAATAAACAGACTTGTAACAAATTACACTTAGTAAACACACTCAATGAATAATATTACAATATGAAAATCATAAGCAAAGAAATTTGGCTACGATGCTGAAAAGTACTTATGACACTTCTTGTAAACGTTTTGTTGCGTAGAGGTATATAATAGGAGGTGCAATTCTATGGGCAATTATTTAAAGCAGTGTATTGCAACTTACCGCAAGAGTTTCGAACTGACCGGGGGTGTAGCTTTTTCTATACCCTAATTTACAACATATAGACAATCAGGTGTACCAAATGTTTATTTATTCAAGTGGATTTGATCTAGTGCATAGAGAGCTAGAAAATGTAATTAGAAGAGAAATTATATTTTATCATTCTCTCATACCGGGGAAGTCAGGCATAAAAAAAAGATTGATTCTGAAAAAAAAACATATATGCTATGAGGAACGCATTAAGGATATTTACCCTGATACGTTCATTATTCTCAAGTATTCAATCAGAAACACCATATCGTGAGTTTTTGATTATATTGTTGTTTTATCGTAAAAAATAAAATTGAATATTTGGATCTAACGTCAAAAATAAAAACTAACCAACGGGTCCTGAAATATTTTCAGACACTGCCATACTTTCCGAACATTAAGCTTGAACTATTTGATCAAGGGAATAGTATGCAGCCAAAAATGTTTGTACCAATAGAACCAGCTGGCTTGTTGAAATTAAGTATCGCGAAACATATGAAACAAGAAAATCTAACCAGGAATTCGATATAGAGAAAGTTTACGTACATGCTTGTACAATTACGTACAAGCAATTTCGTAAATTTATTATAAACATTTTTGAGTTGGGTCTTCACACAACACCATCATGCATAGTTACATCGGGCATATGTACTATCAAATATATAGATTGAAATAAAATTTTTAGAGCCGATATCTGGATTGGATTGAACTATCTACCAAAATATAAATAGCTTTGGAATGAAAAAGGTGAATTGAGATTTTTAAAATGGTACGAATACGTATTTATTGATATCTCATATATCAGAAGTGTGTTAGCAATTACCTAATAGCGGAGGTTTTTAAAAGAAAAAAAAGTTGCGCATTTGCTTATGCGAATGTTTATCTATCAATGCTAGCATGCCTTGCTTATCCACCACACAGGGAAAAGCAACAATATTGTTCCTAATTTCGGCTACGTAAATGAAGAACTTCAGAAAGATAAAATTGTGTAAAAGCGGTGTTTTTTCAAAAAATAATTTAATAATATTAGCTTGAAATAGTTCTATAATAGTCCATACGTAAAGATAGAAAAACACGATAAAATACGCAGTGCTGCTTTCGAAAAACGATATCTGGTAGTCGAGCACAGAATAATAAGTATGAAGAAATATTCTGGGGTACAACGAAGTACTTCTAGTTTAATTGGTGGATGTATCAAATGCAGTTAATTGAGCAATTACATCAGACTGATGAAACTTGACTGAAGTTTTGCTATCTGATTTTGTCTATTCGAATATTCGAATTCAAACTTGCCTATTCTTTGTATCTCATTGGTAATTACATTTCATTTCAGAAAAATTAAGCTCTACAATTTACAACTTTTGCTGGGATGGTATGAGTCCAATACAATACCAAAAAATCAACAAAAACCAGTGCGTTCGTCAGTTTGCTTCAACAGGATTGTGGCGCAATCAAGATTGCACATCTGGACATAAAAACGTTTCCCAGTCAGGTTGGATTGGATTCCGTAATAGTAGAGTTCGAATTCCATTACTAAATAAAGACGGGGCCAAAAGTTCTAAAACACCTGACGTATATGAGATACCTTATATAAAAGATTCACTCGTAACTAAGTTGGTACTCACTCTGACAGATATTACCTACCAAAGTCAATGAGCTCCTTACACAAACAGAACAGTGATAAACGATGTTAATTTTGAAAAATGTTTCAGAATTTTCATCCAACTCATTCAATATTATTATTATTGTGTTATTGACGCGATTTAATGAATATTGAACTATTTAGATATGACCTTCATTAATAAAACATGCAATAACGAAACTTGATATAATCATGGGAACTGCATTATGGAAAGCGATAAAGACAGATACAATTGCAATTGCGGGCCAGGTTATTCTGGAGCAAAGTGTGAGAGTGGTAAGTATGCCCTATCTTTGGTTGATTTATTCACACATATAAGAATAAATGTTGTGCAAGATCGCCTCTTTCTGATGTAAATCTCTTGATGAAATAAATGCGAAATAGTACCATGGTGGAGTTTTCTATTAAATTATCGAAATCAGTAATTTGTTTATATCAAGCATCCATAATAAATGAACCTATTGTACATCCTCAGTGATTCAAGATAATAGATAAAGAGTAAATGTTGTGTAAATTCGCCTCTTTTGAAAATATTTCTCTTGACGAAACTATTGCGAATTATTGTCATAATGTGGTTTTCTATGAAAAGTAATCATTTTATATCTAGCATCCAGAATAAATAAACCTATTGTAAATCCTAAGTGATTCAAGAGTCTTGCTGCACACTAACACAAATATATTTCCGTGACGTTTCGTCTGACCAAGGTCAGACTTTTTCAGACTTATATAGTTCAAGTATAACAAGGAAAGCAGTTACATGCATATTTAATCAAGCAGTGTAAAATTATGGGAGTTACACCTGTTAAATATTCAATAAAATCAGCGAATTCTTGATTAAATAACAGCTATTGCTCTGCACATAGCATGTCGTACTTTTTCGGTCATAACTCTTTGAAAAATTAAAAAATCTAAACCGAGATTTCAAACCTTACTTTGACAAGCATAACGTAGTCGTCAATCAATATCCTGGTGGCGTAAATAACACGTTTTTTTGTTTCATTTTATCTTAACAAACATTCGAAATGACGAGATTTATTTCGTTGGTAATATGAATTTCTGGACTACTCAATAGTCGTCATTTTTCGTCGGCATCTTTGGCATTGATTGACTTTGAAATTGTCTATCTATTGCCACGCGCTACTTCAATGATATAAAATGGGTAGAACGATGATCTGACAGACACAGTTTAAAATAAACTTTCATCGTGATAAATTACAACGACGAGTTGCATTTTTTGGAAATTTATATCGGCGACTTACGCCATGCACCAATAACAGCGATAAATTTCCATAATATTTCCCTATGTTTTCGGCGCTGAAATTGCGGGGTAATTGGAAGGTTATTGCGATGATTTCTAGTCACATAGCATAGCCTATGTATGTACAGAGTGATCCAAAAACATAATCTAATTTTTTTGTCATTCAACTCTGCGATATATATACATAATTTGGCTTGCGCATGAACTTCTGTTTGTGACTGACTGAGAGCGATTACAAGAAGGAGATATTAGTAGTCACCAATGACGTTGTGTGGGTAACTCATTAATCGGACTTGAACCCTGAAATTTATATCTGAGAGAGTTTTTGAATGACAATGTGTATCTGAAGTCCAAACAATCAATAAATAGCTGGGAAATCAAGCGAAGAAAAAATTAGGGAAATCACCGTAGAGGGATGCATGCGAGTGATTGATAATTTTGCGCGAAGGATGCAAGTTTGTTCGAAATGAGGCTATGTAGCACGAGTTCTAGGGAAAATATAGCTTTAGTGAATAAGTTCTTAGAAACTTCCTAAAACTTTTGGGTACAATCATACGCGAACAGAAGTTCAAGTGTGAAAAAACATGAAATGATTTATTTTATTTTCTTAGACCTAGTTGAGAAATTTATAAATGTATGAAGTTGCCACCTTAGCTTGAAAAACTAATTTGTCGTGAATACGTCTATAAATTCTTTTCTAGCTTTTTATAACTTATTTCTCTTGCGTTGATTTAAAATTGACATTTCAATGATCTTTTGAAACATTAAACTGACATATAAGCTAATGCCATGAACATCCGGTTCCACGCGTATTCAATTACTGGTTGTGTTGTCAATACAATCTATAGTATAATATTGTTGCTTAACCTCTGGTTACATTGAGTCATATAATAAAAAAAAATGAAGATAATTTTTATTTAAATATAAAGGAATAAAATAAATGAAGAAATTGGAAACACTAACAAAATATCGCAACGTTTGAGAGATGCATCATCATCTTCCTGGACCATCAATTTTGCCTTAAATAATACAAGAAACAAGAGAGCTGTGTCAACATCTGATGATGAAGTAACAGGTCAAAACCTCAAGCTAAACAATGATGCCGAATACAGATATTGATGACCTATTGACGTGACGTGAACTGTACGATAGCTCAATTGTTAACCTTATTTAAAGAAATAACTAACGGATAACAATTGCTTGCATATCAATATTTTTAACCCGCCTTCAAGAGTGAGGTGAATAGTTACCAAATATTTTGTACCTTGATACATATTCTTTCAATGTTATTAAATTATTAATTCATTACTTTTCTCTATGGATACATTTTGTTAAAATATTTAGTATTGAATATAATATTTTACAGCAAATCCATTTATTTATCATCTTACCTCTGGTTGTTCTGGCTGTGTTGGGTATTTTTGTAGTCATTATGATCGTTCGAAGGTATGTAAATATTTTCTGATTTGTTCAAGTATAATTCATTTTCTCAATAGGAATGAATGTCGTTTTTGTAAAAAAAATAGCATCGTATAATTAGGTTCGTCAGTTAGGAACAAACTTTTACTAAAGGTAATTAATAAATCGAAAATTCAATATTTAGAAAATCAAAACTACTACCAATCAAGACTACAGAGTTGTTGTTTTTTTTTGAATAAAACTCGAATGTTTCAATATTTAAATGTTATTTCAGGCGACGTGGGGGTGAGAAGAAAACGCCCGATTTGAGCATCCAGGTGCTACATGACAAGGAAGGTAAGTCCAAAGATTTATGCCTATTCCGGGTGGTCGTATTCGAACTTAAAATCTGAACTTAAAAAAAAATATTGGCATTGAGGAAGTATTACGAGATATTTTTCGTCCTCTTTATATTTGCCGACCGAACATTATCGCCTAAAATATACCATTAATTTTCCGGTTAATTTTCTGTGGTTTGTTCGTTTTCAATAAGTAAAAGCAGCGACAGTATATTTAGAAAACTATTTGATAGTTATTTAGATTGGCAAAAAACAAAGATAAGAAAAAACACGATATGTAAATCCAATAATTGATTTACCAGTTATCCGTACTCTCTTACCTTAATTTTATTTAAATTTTTGCTTAGAGCACGTTTACGCTAATTTATCAATGGATAAACACGAACCAAGGTCAGAAACAGAAATTCAACTTGATCAATTGTTGGAAAATTATGACATGATGATATCTTCAGACAGAGCAAAATTCAGCGAAGAGTTTGAGGCAATTTTTGATTATTGATCAATGATATTTTTATGTGAGTCTTTCGTTAGAACCTATCATGAATATACAATAAATCATTACAATCTTTCATCAAGTTCAAAATTTTTGCTTGTAATATCACGGTGAAAAATAGTGAAATCTGTGTTGTTTGGAAATGTTTAATGGACAACATCATTTATGGATGTTTGATATACTTAATTATAAACTTGTTTATATAACTTACAGGATTTGAGAGAAAATGCAAACCGCCTTGATTAACCAACTGAAATTGGGGCATCTGTTTCACTAAAAAAGAAAAACCGATACAAGAATATTTTACCATGTGAGTTTCTTTACTTTAGTTTCTTAGTCATGATACAATATCGTCATTTTCATCGTGTAAGCTATGTTAATTAATAACACATATATGTATTTATGTAATCTCATATTTTATATTTTTGAGTCCGTTCATTGTCAGCAAAATTTTTTTTCTTTCCTCATAAAACCCTTTTGTCTCGGTAAAAATTAGTAAAATTATTTTGCAGGTGATAACCCTCGAGTAATTCTGAGTGGTGAGGGAGACAGCGGTTACATCAATGCTTGCTACATCCATGTAAGTTTTCAAGATTTTTTTCTCCGAGAAACCTGAACGCAGCTGGGCCGCGCATACATATATATTGATTGTTTATAAACAATAATTTTATTTAATACCGAAATAGTTGATATTTTTATGTATGTTTGATATAAATATTTTTGTTGCTCAAGTATCGCATTAACTATTTGTTGTTACTTTTATAAACATTTGGTGAAATCGACACTGCAATAAATTGGTGAAATAATAAAAATAAGTTTATTTGATTTACCCTTGACAGAATATTCTTATTTTAATTTTATAAGACGTTTTTATAGCTTTTCGCCTCTAACACGACTCCAGCACCAGCAGCCGATGCTTAATAGGAAGCTGCTAATTTTCGTTTTTGTAACTTTTAGTGATGTGGTGAATACCAATATTTGTTCTAAATGATACCAATGTTGCCATCATAACAATAAATTATGTTTAAATAGGGCTTTTGCAAACCGAAGAAATACATTGCTACACAAGGTCCTCTACCAAGTACGATGGATGATTTTTGGAGAATGATTGCAGAACGGAAAGTTATTTGTATTGTTATGCTGACAAAATGCTTCGAAAATGGAAAAGTATTTTATTTTTTAATTGGTATAAATAAATAGCTTATAAATAAATAGCTATTATGTATGTATATATTTAAATATGACTTTCGTCAATAACGCCAAATATCTTAATTATGTAAAGTGTAAACTTTTAGGTCTTATCAGTAAAAACGAAGTTTAATGACTATTGAAATGAATGATGGGATAGGGGATTCTGGAATTGATAAACATGTCTATGCTGGAGGTTTGCTGGATTGTTATGTATATATACACAAACATAACTTTCTTCCAGAGTCCTAAATTATTTGTTATTTATTTAAGAAATAATTATCATGAAAATTATTTTGCTCTTAAGTAAGGTTTGTTATTTTGCTATTTAATGTAATGTTTGACTGTTTCAGCAAATAACAACACACATGTTTCATTTCGTGAATTGGTCTGACCGTGGAGCACCAGTCGCTACCAGCAATCTAATTAGATTCCACAATTCCGTATCAACCCATAAAACGACTGCTCCGATTGTTGTGCACTGCAGGTGCGGTGCTAAATGAATTACTTTATATGTCTATGCGCTGTTATTTTTCCATTCAAATTTAAATTCTGCTCAATCAAACAGATATATTTATGAGCATATAAACAAACATGAACATAACAATTGTTTCGCTAGAATTTAAATAGCACTTGCATATGGGACATATTGATCGGTAGAACGAGACAAAACATATAACTTTATGCTAAATGTTTCTTTATATGAGCTAGAGCTGAAAATGTTTTCGAAACCTAAATTTGTTAGATGGTTTTTGGCTTAGCGCGGACAAAATATACTGTAGTCAAAAGAAACAACAAACTTACATCTGCTTTATTCACATATACTTAATGTGGTCTAATTAAATGAAATTAAGTATCGTTTAATATTTATATTTAAATAAGTTGTCTTTGCTTATAAAAATTGATCGTAACTATGCAACCAATCTTTTATATTTATTCTAGTGCTGGAGCAAGAAGAACGGGTGCTTTCATTGCCTTCGATATGTTACTAGAAGAATCTAGAGCTCTAAGATCAGTTGATGTTTACAATTGTGTTTTAAAAAGGAGAGAGCAAAGGGTGGATATGGTTCAGAGCTGCGTAAGAATTCACTTTATACTTATTTTTACCAGGATAAATTTAGGTCAAGCATTTAGACATAACTTTGATTTGAGCGTTATTTTTTTGAGGTGTGGTATGATTTTTTGACAACAATTCTACAGACGATGACGAACTAACTAAGTGTTCAAACGACTATAGGTTGGGGGGGGGGGGGGTTGAGAGAACGACGCCAAAATATATAGTCACAAATGCCAAAACGACGAATAGTCTAACTTACCTCTTACAGTATCTTACCTAGTCTATAAACTTCATGACTTTTGCGTGGAGAAAAAAGTCGCAGAACCGCTAGATATAATTTATATTACTTTTGAAGAGGTCATCACTCAAAATCTCGAAGTGAAAATCACATAGAGCTCACTAAAAATGTTGAAGTAAATAAAAGTAATATCCTTTTAGTGAAAATACTATCTTAACCACTGAAAATTTCTAGGCAATTGTTCCAGTGATTATTGAGAAAATGGTAACATTAATGAGAAAATAATGGCAAAACGATCCATATATATACACCTCTTCTCCAAAAGTTGTCAACTGTTTCATAACCATAAACGTTGAATACAACATAGAAATGAGTATCACATTCTAAATTAACCCACAAGTCTTATAGTGTTAGTTATCATTAATTTTGTTTTTAGGACCAATACATTCTCGTGCACAAACTTCTCTTGGAAATTATATGTACGGTGATACTGATATAGGTCCAGATGAAGTGGGCCAATATTTAGAAGGGTAAGACTGAAATTGTAGTTGTGCTATAATGCTGTGTTCAATATGAGATTAATATAACAATATTATGTCATAAAATATTTTTTCTCATGTTTAAAAATAATAAACTATCATTAATATCTTCTTGTACTATCACGAATTTACATCAAACTCATCCAATTTCATAAAAACGTATTTTGAAATTTGTGGAAAGAGAACAATGAATTTGTTCAAAATTACCCATTTATTTTAATAGATTTGCATTAATTTATTTACAGCGACCAGCAAGGTGTCAAACTTCGTAATCAGTTTGACAACTTGGGAAAGGTTGGACCAATAAATCAAACTAAGCATGGAAATACAGGGGATTACAGAGCAATGAATAGAAACCCTGATATCATACCATGTTAGTAATCTGTAAAATAGACATTTACTTCAACGTTATATTAGCTAATTACAAAATCGTGATGGTATCTCTGATATGATAATATTATGCACGTATAAATAATGGTACTCCCGAAGTATGTGAACTAAGATGGCGGTCACCGGAACACAGTATGTGAACCAGGTTAGGGTTGGGCAATAACTTTATTCCAATTTTCCTTATTTTAGGTATATTATGAATTCGGGACTAGCCGTGTGACTCACGTAGTATTCGTACATGAAATTATGGCCTAATTCCAACATGGTACACATACTATGTTCCGAGGTCCCCCATCTTGGTTCACATACTTCGGGAGTACCTAAATAATGAAGTTGATTAAAAAGAGCTATCATGAATAACAGTTTCTTGTGCTTACAGACGTTAGGAACAAGGTTGTGATTGTGAGGGGAAGTGATGAAACGGAAACGCCTTATATTAATGCATCAAAGCTTGAAGTGAGTAAAAATTTCACCTACTGTTCTTTAAGATAAACATAGCCAAAACGAAAGATAAACGAAGGCAAAAAAGTTGTTATCTGTCGAATGATTTGTCGAATGTTATCTACACAAATGATGAAATGATCAACAAGTTGAACAAAATTTCACTTTGATATTTGAATGAAAATCTGAAAATTTATTTTCTGTGGAATAACAAACTAGGTTATGTTAATTACCTGAAAATTTTGCAATGTATAATATTCCATTTAGTCATACGGCGATATCACAAAATTAATCGCTGCTCAAGGTCCAATGGAGTCCACCACTGAGTTTTTCTGGAGAGCAGTAATTGACAACAATGTCAACACTATTGTGATGTTAACCCCTAATGAAGAAGGCAATAAGGTATTTGTAACATCGTTTCGAAATATCCGAAGGTATGATGAACTGTCATTAAATCTTTTCAGTGTTTCGCAATAATATTATTTTAACAATAATTGACTTTGAATTGCACACGGAAGATGTGTAACTGTACACACGATACTTCCACACATTTCCTCATGGCGTTGATATGAATATGATACAATACGAAACAGACATTGAGTTAAGAAAATTTGAACGTGGGGTTAGATGCTAAATAATAAAATGACAAACGACGAAGTTGAAATATAAACTATATAATCGTGGCAAAATATAAAAAAACTTTGTAATGCTTCGAAGTAGTATAAAATCGTTTACATTACATTATAGATATACGTTAGAAACACTAGTAGCTTTCACGGTCCAGCACAACTCAGACTGTGTTTAAGATTAAGTTTAATAAACATAGGACGCATCTTAAATACGATAAAGTTTTATACTGACAATGATGAATTCAAAGAGTCTGATAAAAAGGGGTCTTGAAATAGTTTACGATGTTTTGGTCATCTACAGGATTATATGAATACTGAAATCTAGTCCTACTAGGTAACTAGGATATTTCTTCATTCTATAGAATAGCGAACTATCCTCACACAAGATGGAATTATTGAAAAAAATTACATTTGTCTTTTTAACCAATTGATTGATGATTTGTATTGGTACAATATATATATTTTACACATACATAGTTGAATGAAATAGGAATCATTATAATTTATAATAGTTTTCTTCGTTTTACTAAAATAGGAAATAATTTGAAGTCTAAATCATTAAAAATGTATGGCAAATAAATTATACCCAATAAAATATTATGTGCGTGCAAAAGTCTTATTTTAAAGCAATTCTAATTATTATACACAAATTCTTCATGAGCCTGATAACCCCGTGTTTTTTTCCATCGAAAATTGAAATTATTTCCTGCACAATTGGAAATATTATAATTCTACTGAGAGGAATTGAAGGCAATTGTTGGATTCGAATATTCTGTTATGTTTAAAATACAACATTAGGGCTGGCGTGGGTTCAACCATTTACTTGTATATAATGTATATAATAACAAACACCTACTTTTTATCTCTCGCTGATAGCTAAGTTTACATTAGTGTCATTCAATACCCAAATATAAAATCATTTTGCAACAACATAGACATTTGGGTGTTGGTTGCTACCTTGGAATGGGAAACAGCATTTCTCTTTTAAGGCATGCAGCTTTGAATAGTCAAAATTACAATAATATATCCAGAGTTCGTTAATGGTTGATAATTGATTTTAATAAGTAGAAAATCAATGGATTGAGAATTGTAATAATATTGATCTTATTTGTATCACTAATAACAGGTTCCCTCATTTCAGAAATATGATGTCACTCCGCAAGCTATATTAAAGTAACACACTAAATCTAACACTCATCTTTCGAAACGACAAATATAGCGCTTTTTGCCAACTGCGACCGCCTTACGTACAAAACAAAAAACAAGAAGTGTCACAACATTCCAAGAACAGGCAAGAACCCCATACCATGCAAACCCTACGAGTACCACCACCGGGCTGTAACAATATGGCATCAACAGTATAAATTAAATATATTGAGTTATTGAATATCTTCAATATTTTTAGGACGTAATATTTTTATTTCTAGGAGCAATGTTATCCTTATTGGGAAGATCATAAAATGCTTTCAAAAAGCTTGAATATTTCCGTAAAATCTACGAACACAGAAGGACAAATTATCAGAAGAGAAATCCAAGTTTCTAAAGACGAAGCAGTAAAGGTAAAATTATATTTTAATTTTGGTTTATTCAACGTAATGTTTTTTGAACGATCCATTGACTGGCCATGGAAAGAATATCCAGAAAAAGATTTTTGACATTCTAATATTAGTGGATGCTGTTTATAATCTATTATTTATTACTCACTCACCATTTCAGTTCAGTTCATATTAAAAATATGAGCATATTGCAAAATATTTCAATATCGTATATCATTGTTTTAAACTGCTTGTCTCATGAAGTCAAATACATTTGTGTTAGTTTGCAGCAGGACTCTCAAATTGCAAGAATGGTCATGTTTATTCCTGCTATACAGCATTCTTGCATCATACGCCTACGGAACCACTAGCGCAAATGAATTGAGGAAGGATTGGGAATTAGTCTCGCGTAACATGATAGGTATAGAAATATATCCTTATTGTGTCAGCACTCAGCAATATTTTTATTTCAGACAATAATTCACTACCAATATGTTGAATGGAAATCAAACGAATCTCCCGAAACAACTTCTGATGTAATTGAACTCATAGAGAAAATGCAATCGAGCGTAAGAAGAAACAAAGAAGCAACTGCTCTGATTCATTGCAGGTAGAGTTTCTAAAACTATGACACAATGTTTACAAAATTACACCGCATATTCAGAATCATGCATCCAACGAGTAATAAAACTTGTCTTAGTTTGTGACCAAAATGTTATGCAATTTATTACAATTATCTAGAAATTTATATCGCGTCAAGTGATTTGTATTTGATATAAGCAATAAAGAAGAACTAATATATTTGAATTTTAAATGCTCACTCGCTATTTCAATTTCATCACTCAGTCATCTGATAGTAGTCAAGATTATTGTTTCGATATTGCTTACCTATAAGAAAACTTGTAGTCAAATCTCCTATCAACTAAACTCAAGCTTGTAATCACAGCGATGGTGCTGGAAGAACTGGAACATTCTGTGCAATATTGAATTTGATTGAAAGATTAAAATGCGAAAATAGGGTTGACGTCTTCCGGATAGTAAAAGATCTACGTGACTGCAGACCTGGAATGGTCCAAACTTTGGTAAAACTTTATTCAATTCTTCTCACTAATCTTAATTTTTTATGTAATTGGATGACTCTAAACTGAAAACAAACTAGACTGATTGACCTACCAAAAACGTTTGACAATAACTCACACGAACGTAACGTAACGTTCAATAAAGCTAGTTACAAGAAAATTATGTGGTTGGTTGTAGGTAATAATTCATGTTGGTATAACTTATAACTACCAGAAAAATGTTTTGTAATTACGTACCTGTTATTCGTGATAATAATGAGCACTATTTGGTATGAATCCACGTTTTATATTTCAGGATCAATATCGGTTCTGTTTCGAAACTGTTTCAGTTTATTTATCATCGTTCAACCTCTACTCAAATTTTGATGTTAGCAATGGAAAGCAAATTACGCAGGAAGAGAGTTTGTATCAGAACTTATAAACAAATCATGGCGTCTGAAACAGAGATTTATTAACTAATTTTGATGTATTTCTGAACTAATGCAAACTTATGGAGATCTTTAAGTTGAACTAACAGTGAAGTCGGCGGAATACGCCTCGTTTGTAGATAATTTTTTCATAACCATGATCTTAAAACATAAAACTTTATGATAATTAAATAATCAAATTTCTAATATTACTAATAATATTACTGTAATGCAACATTATTTTATTGCTACTGCTCTTATTAACTTGCACTTTACATTTTGAAATTGTCCACTTTATTTATTTCATTGTTTATACTGTGTATGAGAGAATTTCTATATGCTATATATATTATGTTTTATGGTATGACAATACATAATTAATATTTTGAGAATGAAATAATAATTGGAGTAATCTGATTTATTTATCAAATACAGGAATAACATGCATGCTTGTGCAGATTATATGTATCGGCATAAATATATATATTTAATAGGAGTTATTACAGAAAAAATCTTTGATAAGCTAACATGTTGAATTAGTAAATAATTTTTGATACAATACGTAGTCTAGATGTTTTGACAATAACATCGCGAGTTAACTTGGCAATCGAAATAAAGTTAGTGGCTGAAAAGGACAAATTAAAACGGCAAAAATGAATGTCTACTGTTTTCTAGAACCAATCATATTTCCAAAATGAAGACGTGATAGCATGAATAGTTTAAAGAAAACGTTCCACAACACTTTTTTGAATTATTCTGCTAGCGGACGTGTTTGAAGCAAAACAAATTAATTAAGCAGTTTCATATAATTCGCTTCCTTTTTATATTACGTTTTTCTAACTATGACCTTAATTTATTTATTTCACTCCATTGACCTAATGTAACCGTTAAAATTTCAGCTGCATCATGTGAATAGTATTCACATACTAATAAAATAATTTAGTAAATAACAAGTTAACAATCATTGTGACTGAATTTCATTTCATACTTAATATTATGTCGATGAAAAGTGATATGATTTATTAATTAATAAAGAGTGATCTCATGCATGCCTGTGTAGATTATCGTTTGTTTTTAATATATATGTAAGAAGAAGAATTACGGAAAATAAAATATGCTTCAATTAGCTAACGTTTTAACCGTGTATTTAATTTATTGATTTATTAATTTTATTGGTAATATGTCTTGACAGTAAGTTATTGACCGAGAAGGGCAAAATGAATCGATCTTCACTCTTAATTAACCAATCATAATTTAAAAAAAGGGTAGATTGTATAAATATTTCGAAGAATTGGTTTCACAGACCATATTTTTCTAATATTCTGATAGCAGACGAATCATTGCAAAAAGGTAGTCTTTGCAATATTTTCACCAATATCCCATTGATTTCAATTTGTATACAGTAAAGTTCGACACAGACGCCCTTTTTAAATGTCAATCAGAAATTATGGTTACCGGTGCCGTGATTTATGTTTTGTAGCTTTCAGTTATATAACAAAAACACTTCTCATTTCGAATGTAGAAATGACCATTGTTTCTATTATTTATTCAGTGATGTATTTTTGTAAAATCAGTAATAGACTTCAATCAAATTTAGTTCCAAGTCCTTGTTATACAAAATAATTATCCAAAGTTTTGTCTATTTTCAGCTACGATATCCTTTTAATTAAACAAGCGAACTTATTAGGAATAAATGAGACAAATAACATTTTCAATTCGCGTTTGAAATAACTTAAGCTGCGCGCTGATATTGTGTAAATAGTTGAGTTTGTATATGACATCTTAGAAACGGCAAATTTTATGCCAATTTCTTTACAAATGTGAAACAATGCAATATGTTTTATAGAAAAGAATTCAATATAAATGTACATAGCAAGTTTGCAAGTATTACCAATCATACGGCACGATATAAAAGGTTAAATGCCCGACAGTTCACGGAAAAAGTCTAATGTTTTCAGACATATAAAATCCATGTTATGCGGAAAGAGGGCAATCCAGAGGTATGCGTACCGATATGGAGGTAACTCATTTTGTTTACCTGTTCGACATGGACAGAGGGATATTCACTTGGCTAATACAGACAGTTCCCCAACTCGTAATAAAGGAAGTACAATAGGGAAAATCGGAATAATATTATGGCCTAATCATTACCTGGTACACATACTACATGAGTACCGAAAAAAGTGGCAATTCCAACAAACAATTTCTAAAAGGTCCTATGGTAAATGTGGTCAACAGAGCAAAAATTTGCACTTTTTCAGTTTCAGTTAGATTGTGTTCTGTTTGTCGGGCAATACGGCAATTCAGTTTGATTAGTTTTTCTATTGTACGTTTGAAAATGTAAATAGAGTTCAAATTTTTTGATGCAATCTTAAAAAACTGAATTTTGACTACTAATATTTCATTTTATTTCTCCGAATTAATAGTAGTCTCGTTTTGCTGTGTCTATATGGTAAATTGGGGTGTCGCCAATGGAGTATTCCTATTTATCGCAACGCATAGATGCTGTGACCAGTCAACCTGTGGGTTGGTAAGAGCTAGTCAAGGTAATCTTTCTAGCTGCATGAGTGCAAATAGTTTATCAATACCGATAACAACAGATTACAGGAACTAGGAACGACAAAGGGGTATTGACGAATTTAGGTTATTACTCATTCAGACATTTATTCGTCTCGAAAAATATCGGTAATGATGTATTAAATCTAGTTCTTTGGCCGGCTTGAATCTTCTGCTCAAGTATTGAAATCCGGTTTAAATTATAAGCACAGTTTGTATAATCTCTTGTCACTCTGCTACACCCTCTGCGTAAGCGTTCCTTCGCTGTGGACGGTTACCTGGTAGCTCTTTATAAGAAAATAACAGCCGGTGGGTGCCACTGATATCTCATCTAAAGGCAATCGCATATTGGCAAAATACTTAAATTCCCCTGATTACCCTTCTGCGCAAAAATGGTGCGCCAATCGTTGAAAATGGATTCACAATATTTAAATGTCATTTATATTATCTAAAAAACAAAAAAAATATCTAAAGGAATTGAATCATGCCATGCTACCAGACAAACAAAACTAAATCTAACTGAAAAAAATTAAAAAGGCAAATTTGTAACCTGGTGGCATCTGGTTCCGTGAAAGATAATGTCAAAAATTGTCCGTTTATGCCACTATATATATATATATCCGCGTGGGATAGGTTTTAGAATAAAGCCTATTGATGCAACATTTATTTTTTGCAGTATAGACAATGCAAAATGTAATTTATTACAATTATTATAAGTAAAATATAAGATGTGGTTTGTATTGTTTTGGATTTCATTGTTCAGTTCCACCGAAGGACAAACAACAATCCCAACTCCAAAAAGTAAGCATACGTTCTCTTTTTTTTATGTATACGTTCTCTTATTTGTGTTACATGTACACTTCCATTGTTCGCATTATATACTCGGTGATGACGAATATTGCAATTTGCATTGCGATAGCATTGCGAGTTGTGGCAAAAGTAGCGATAGTGCCAAATTATATTTCTCAAAATTATATACAGTCCACACTGAGTTAATATTTTAAAAACCAACTGTGAGATTTTTTAGATTGATCAGAAATAGTTTGCTGCTTTTTTCTTATGACTTATAAACTAACGCGTATAAAAAAACAAATTTAGCATCATCACACATTTCTATTCAGGCACATCAGATTTCCGAAACTATAGATTAGAACTATTTGAAAAAGGAGAGGCATATTATGATGCCAAGACTGTGTGTGAAGCAAGAAATGCATGGCTCGTTGAGATAAAAGATAAAGAAACTCAAGATGCAATGAAAAAATTTACTGAGTGAGTTTGTCCCATCCATATTTGAAATGCATAAGTAACATGTTTAACAGTATAATAGCACGGAGAACAAAAATGACCACCATATTCATTTTTATTTGTCCGACATAATACCAAATGTTATTTACCACGGAAAGCAACAATTGGTCTCCAAAGCACGATGACCCAAAAATAGAAAGGTGAAGTAATAACTGACTCAGTGAACAGAACGATGAATCAGATTTTATTGAATAACAAAAGCATTGGTTTTAAAACTGCTGTCTGCAATTATAAGATCATTGACAGTGAGCATTGAATTTTAAGTTAATTTTTGACGACTAATGTTGAGATCCATATTTACGTATAGTCGGATAGGGCGAACCGGTATTTGCGTTCATGTCAGATATGTAAATAAGTTGAATTGTAATAGAATTCATTTGATCTTAATCGCATTTCAAAATGTAAAATATGATTCACGCGCAATATTATATTGTTCGCCGTTTTAATTAGTCTCGTTAGGAATCTGCTCAGTTTACTTTCTCACCTTGAGCAACTCGTCCTTAAATGTTGTTTATGTCTCGCTATGTCTGCGAAGATTATGGTCAGGGGTGAGTATTTTAGTGAAAACGCTTAAACGTTAATCGGGTAAAATTGACCGGTATGTCGAAGGCAAAGCCCTGCCATGATTAAAGTATGATAATTGTGAAGTAGGCTTGTGGCAGCATGATTCTAAGGTATTTTTGCTTTTCCAAAATTGTTAGATATTGAACGCGGGTCAAAATAGTCCTGTAACGAGTCGCTCTGAATATTAATTCTTTACAAAAGAGCTGCAAACTACTTTTTACCAACCACGCACTCATGAAAATCATGGATTAATCTAATCTCCTTATCAGTTATGTTATGAGTTTTAAAATATAAACAATTGAACTAATTATTTATATCTTAAAACTCCTAACACAAAACATATGCGTGAACTAATTTTCATTAATTAAATCTAAATAGGAACATGGAAGATCCTAAGATCTAATAATGAATATTGAGCTGTACTAGGGCGACCGATACTGTCTTTTTGAACCGATACCGATACTGATAGGTTTCGAAAACTAGGCCGATAAGACGATACCGATGTTTCCCCACCTACAAATATGGCTACAAGTAACCAGCAACACTCTGGGAATATTGTGTTTTTCTTGCAAAATAAATGGAGTCTATAGTTGAGCAGAGTTTTTCTGGACTGGCTCCAATCATACTTGCTTTTGTGTTTTGCTGTAGAGGTGGCTCTACAAATTACTGGTGTTTTTTTTAAATCGGCGGAACTTTTTGAATTTATAATGATGCGCCTATTTTACAAATTACGCCATCATTATGGCACACGAAGTATTCCCATACTCTGCTCTTACCGCTAGAACCAGCCATCTATAACATATCAATACAAGAAGTTAAATCGCGCCTTGAACCACGGAAGCGCAAGGGAAATCCAAAGCCGTGGAAAGTGGAAACGGCGAGAATTATTTATTTATCGACGTATATTATTTGACTCAAATAGGATGTTCACATGTTTCTCTCACTTAATTTGCGGGGCCATCGCGCTCGCAAACTCGCTTACAAAGTATTGAATCCCTTGCCATACGTCCGTTTTGGATAATAGAAACATGTAAAAAAAAATCTTTATTAACGTATATTATTTGACACAAATAAGTGCCTCCCCCGTTTCTCTCGCTTCAATTTGCAAGCCACCACACTCGCAGACTCGATTACAAAGTGTTAAATCCCGTGCCGTACGTCCGTTTCGGATTAGAGAGGCATAGTCGAAAAAATTCTTTATTTATCAATGTATGTTATTTGACACAAATATGTGGTTCACGCGTTCCTCTCGCTTCAATTTGCAAGCCACCACGCTCGCAAACTCGCTTACAAATTATGAATCCCGTGCCATACGGCCGTTTTGGATAAGAGAGACGTAGTCAAAAGCCGCTTTTTGATAAAAGAGAAATAGAAGTAACGAAGAAAAAGAGTATTAGGCAGAACCGCTCTCTCAATTAAACATACGATAAAACTGCTTTCCCGGCGTAATTTTGACACTTTGGCAACCATGTGATTGGCCGATATATATCGGTAAAATTAGCCGATACCGATAGTTCGGAATTTGTGAAAAACATGGCCGATATATCGGTCGGGCACTAGCAGCAACTGCCTATTACTCACCTAGTATTTCATCATTTATGTATCTTTATGATCAGAGTCAATTAAAAATCCATGTGAAGTTCATTTCATTTGACACTGCGATCATACTCAATATTTTAATTATACCAAAATTATTTATTGTTTTAACTTTTGTACTTTGGCAGTTAGCATTGCTTCAAGCACTTTTAATTATCTACTAAATACAAATCTGAAATGCCACTAAATACAAATAGATGAATTGAAATTTGATTGGTTGTAAAGGGACGTAAAAGGACAATGTCAAAGGACTCGACACGATTTTTTGGAGTTGCAATTTATTACTTTAATTTTTGCGACCATGTATATATGCCAATTAATAAACAATAACGTCCTTAATTTTGTTAGGAATATCATTTGGATTGGTTTACATCATGACGGCGAATGGATATGGAACAACATCTATGAATTGAAATATACCAACTGGTTTGTCTCATTCTATTTTACATATTAAATATAAATTTTCATGAAAAATCCGATATACATGGTAAGTAGAACTTTTGTTGTTTGATCATAATATAAAAATCGGCTATGTTATCAGCGGTAATGATGTTTTAATAAATAAATTTGTTGCCGCGAGTGAAACCAAAACAACAAGCTTTGGGCATTTTGGAAAGGCCATATAAGTGTCATCTGTAACAGATCTGTCAAATAGATTAAACCCAACATGAAAAACAAAAACTTGTCGCTAACGCCATCAATATTATCTTTGGGCATATCTGTTTTTATGGTCCGTTAATGATTAAAATTCCACGTGCCGGTAGCATCCAGTGATTTTTCGAAAGTGAAACTTATTGCGAGCAGACCAATTTAAAGCGTGGGTGACGAAAAGCGTAATTTGTTTTCATACAGGGCCCCCGGTTATCCTATAACCGTTTCTGGAGTAAAAATGAACTCCTGTGTCGCTTCCAGATCATCTGATGGAAGGTGGATTAATAACGATTGCGCAAATGGGCACCGATATGTGTGTCAGTCAGGTATGTTTTCATTTTTAACTGTCGTTTTAATTTCTCTGAAGTATGAAAAACACTTTATGATATTTTACCATTAATTCGATTTGTATGTCATACCATGACTACATATGTTAAGTGTACAGCAGTGGTTTTAATTAACGAATCTCCGTTTTATCCACGCCGGCAATATTTGATATTGGTGTTTCCTCCAGTCCAGTCGTTTTCTTAGCTGTGGTAAATAAAATTGTCCAAAGTGTCAAATTGCATTTTCTTCAAGCTTACATATATTTGAATGTACCATAAAAGAACATAAACATGACAAATAGGCGGAAATACACCCACTTTATATTTGAAAGATTACAACGGATCCTCTTAGAAACGAGGATTTGTCCCGTCTTTATACGTGATTGGCTTCTCTTCAGTACCAATCGATATATAAACAATCTAATTCTTTGAACTATATGGGAAGTTATGATATGTCTCAGGTAAATTGGTGATTCCCTGTGATTCACAAAGCAACGCAAAGGGGTATTTTGTTAAGCTGTCGTTGTCGTGCCCAGTGAATCATCAATATTTCTAATTAATGTGAAGAATTCTCATCTTATAGATAGAACTTGGTCCAACTTCAACAATAAACTAACACTTCAAATAATAACAAGTCCTGCAAAAACATTTTCTGAGTCCCAACAAGCCTGTGCTAAGAACGGATCGACACTTGTGGAGATGAAAACAGATGCTCTGGAAATGTTCATCAATCGAAAATTGAGGTTGGAAAACTTCACTTCTTGATTATATTATGGCCGACACAAATAACACAATGAATTTTTTTGTTGATGAAAACATTCTGTTGCAAAACAAAAACTTTGCGGGTAAAAAAATTATCTGATGCAAAAGTTAGGACAGGCAAAGAAAGAGATTGAACACTAGAAAATGTTTTTTCAACTTTTTTCATGTTTTCAACTTTTATGGATATCGTAGAATTAACGAAAAATTAAAGAAATGTTACTGGGATTGTGTTAATGTTTGCCATAAAGATTTTTCCTCATAACTCTAGTTACGAAAGTTTCATACCATTTAGTTTTCTTGATTAGATCTATTCTAATTACCAAGTATTCTTTGAATCGTAATGCGCGATCATAATGCTGCATCTTTTGAGTAGATTTTACATCTAACTGGTCGTCAGTCACTTCCATCTGATGTGAGGGTCCTTCATTATTGATTTAATGAGTAGAATAATTTTTAAAAACATTTCTAATAAATTAAGTTTTTGCCAATGTCAACACTTTTTCTAGCTAAATTCACAACATCAAAATATTTCGTATTAGTATTGGTAGAATTGATTTGACATGGCTGCTAATATTCCAATTTTCAGGGAACAAGGGAATACGGAGTTCTTTTATTTCTAGTAAAAATAGTACTACATTGTTTTGATAAATGTGGACTTGTCGAATGATTTCGAGTTTCCCGAGCCAAAGTATCGTTATTGAATTGACATTCACGTTAATCGTATTTACACGCTGGCTGCCGCACATTATCGAATACATCTTAAAGAAAATATGACAAATGCGTAAATCTTTTGCCCACCTAATTCGTCCAGTAGCATGTTCCATTGATCACGTCTTCATGTGAAACTTGACAAAACTAATTGACATTTATTATTGAAGTTTATTACACATAAAAGGTCATTAAATTTAGAATGAAATTTTGTATAAAACTTCAGTATCAAAATTTTGCTGTTAATGAGGCGACAAAATATACCGCTAGAAAAATGCAGCTCAATGCGAGAAGATCAATAAATTCACAACAGCATAGCAAGCACGTAGGCAAAAAAAAGAGCGTATAAGAAAAGGCGTAA